GATCTGATCTGATTGGATCTGATCTGATCTGATTGAATCTGATCTGATATGATTGGATCTGATCTGATGGGATCTGATATGATCTGATCTGATTAATTATGATTTAATTTAAAATTTCAAATCAATAATTTGATTTGACTTTATAATACGTTTGAAAATTGTAATGATAATTCATATTATAATATAATCAATATTTTTTATTTAATGATTATTTTTTAATAAAATAAAATAGTTAATTCATATATTAGAATAATCATTCATATTATAATGTAATAATATTTTTAATTTTATGATTATTTTTTTGTGAAATTAGAATATTATTTTAATATTTTAATAATTACTTCATATATACATTAGAATAAATATTTAATTTAGATATACATTAAAAAGTAATTAAATTTAGATAATCAATATATAGAAGAGATAGTATTTTTATTAAAATATCTCATCCTTATAAAAGATCAAAACGTTAGAAACTCAAATTACAAGTAGCAATAAAAATATACTCCGTATTTTAAAAGTAGAATTAAATTGACATTGTCATTTTTAAAAACAACAACAACAACAACAATAATAATAATAATACTAATAATAATAATAACAATGATAATAATAATAATAATAATAATAATAATAATAATAATAATAATTCTTGATGGGATCTGACTTTAAGAATTCTTGATCTGATCTGATCTGATTTGATCTGATTCGATCTGATCTGATCTGATTTGGTCTGATCTGATCTGATTTTAATAAGAATAAGAAAAAATAAGTTGAACGGAACGGGGCCTAAGTCATTCTTTTCCACCTTATCTTCTCATTCATCGTCAACCCTCTTAAAAAGTAATGGCAATTTCGCAAAGTCAACTCTATTTTTTTTTCCCTTTCTTAAATATACGCCAAAGTTAAAATGAGCGATTTAAAATGGGATTGAGGAAGTATATGTTACAACTAGCATTTTTACCCGTATCTCACATCAGGTTAAATAAAATTTTGTTCTATTATGTAATTTTTTAAGGTTTTATTTTTAATTGTTTGTAATTCTTAAAGTCTGTTTGGTTGAAAGAAAAAATATTTTTCCAAAAAATTCTAATTATAATATCTTACGTTTGATTACATAAGTAGTTAGAAATTAGTTTTGAAGAAAAATATGTTTTTCCTTGTAAAGGAAAAACCACATCTCCAAGGGTCCATCAACACCGCCAAACAGCTAGCAAAGAGATGAGGGAAAATATTTCCCTTAGAGAGAGAAAATGACTTTTCTTTGCTTTGGACGAAAGTTCATTTTTATAATAACTTTCTCCAATGTTCATATTTCACAAACAAAGCAAAAAACTTCCTCCGCTCAACACTCACACCCTCCCTTTTTTCATCCCTCGACCAAACCTTAAACAAAGAAGCTCTATAATGAAACTTTGGTAGTGATCGTGTATAAAAAAATTAGATGTGATGTCTAACATATTTTGAAACTAGCATTTTGACCCGTGCCATGCACGGGGTTGAACAAAATCTTTTTCAATTCTGAAATTTTTTCAATACAATATTTTTTTAAATAAAGATAATATTTTTATCATAAATTTTTAATAACATAGAAAAAAGACAAAGTACTTAACATAGTTTCTTTTAATACTAAATTTTCTAAAAAAAACCTCAGGGTGTAAAATATTTTTGGTATAGTGGTAAGGGTTTTCATTTTCATCTAGAAAAAATATTTTTAATTGTGTATTCACTTATGAAATAGAAACATAAAACTAACCATGAGTGAACAGTGACTTGGTTAAAATAATCTAATAAATGACAATATTCGACCTTGATTTTTGTTCAATGTCATTGCAAAACATAAAACCATTCAGAATGGTCTTCTTTGGAACTTCAGGGTAGTTCTAGACTGGATGGTGCCAAATTCATATGGGATATATAAACCTTTTCTTCGACTTGATTTCACAAAACCAACAATATAATAACACTAATAACATTCTTCCTCCCA